TCAGAATTTGTACAAGATCTTCTGATTTCAACCAAGCCTGTACGATTGTTTTCTCAAAACTGAAAGAGCGTGGGTACTCTAAACGATTTTTACGAAACATAAAAAATTCCACCTTAGCACAGATAGCAGCTAAAAACAGACTTTATGCCGAAGTGCTCCATGTTTGTCCAGTAGATGCAAAACATGTCCCTTTATATCAGAAACTCATTATTTTGTAAGCAACTCTACGAATAAAAGGTACCCGATCCAGGAACATCTAACATGTGAACATTCGAATGTAATATATTTAATTTCATGCAAGAAATGCCCCAAACAATATGTAAGAGAAACTAAGAATAATTTACGAACTCGCTTTAATGCTCATAGGTCAGACATCAAATTAAAGAAAGACAAGCCTGTTTCTAATCATTTCAACCTCGACGACCATTCAATAGACGATCTCACCCTAATCCCAATTGAGCGTATAGAAATTGACTTGCCCGAAGATGAAACTACCAAATTCCGTCAATCTAGGGAGGCCCATTGGATTGAGACATTGAATACAGCAAGACCTATAGGACTAAATATTCATCATAATGTAGGCACAGCACCCTTTGTTGTCCCGTTTAATACAACCAGCAATCGAGCAAGCAAGATAGTTCATGCCCACTATAAGAGCCTTCAAGAGAAATTCCCCCATGTCTATAAGCAGAAAATGATAGTTGCATATTCAAAAAATAAGAACTTAAATGATAATATTGTTCATAGTAAACTAAAAACAATCAGTACATAACAGATACTATACTTCTCGCCCATCGGGCGAGTTATTTTTAAAGATATAAGTCAACAAATGTCAACAAAGGGAAAAATGAAAATATCCAAATGTTAAAACCCGTTCCTTTTTTGGAACCATAAAGCTGAAACAACTGAGCTGTTAACACAAACTGGCCAAAAGGATGAGGTAATTGTGTGCAAAGTCCCTTTTATAACAATCGTATCCTATGCGAGTTATGCCCCAGCCCCAAAATGTAAACAATTAGTAATTCAACCCGGATGTGCCACGCCCACCCCAATTTTTTTGCCATAGGTGAATTCATATTCAAAGTGTCTAGTTGTATTCCAAATATCAAGGTTCTCCATAAAATAGGTCATAAGATATACATACACCAAGATCAAAAAGACACAAATATGGTAAAACAAAACTCAAATTTGAAAAAATCACGAATTTCAATTTTGCTTTAAAAAAGCAATTGTTCTATGTAAAGTGCATGAGAAGAACATTAGGAAACCGAAAAAATTAACCCTCTAGGTTAATTAGGTCACGTGTTAGAGCAGTCCAAAGTTGCGAATTTGGCTTTTTACGGATAGCTATAAAACCGGAAGTAGATGTCTGGGGTCAAAGGTCAAAGTATCAAATGATAGTTAAGGTCAATGACCTTTTACCCTATAAAGGTCAAGGTCATCAAAGGTCAAGGTTACGAGATACAAGCCTTCAAAAATTGAAAAAATTCGACCGGAAGTTGCAAAAAGCAAAAGTCAAATTCAAAAATCCATTTCCAACATTTTTGTCGCCATCGACTAAAGTATACACCAACATAAGAATTTGACCAATCCCATTCTCCCCCGAAGCCCCATTTTGAGTTTTATGAAAAAGTATCAAATCAAGATGGCGGCCGAAGTATTTTTTTCGGACTAAATTTTATTTTAAAATCGGCCATAGAATTGAGATTAATAACGATATACATAATTTCGTTGAAATATTTCAATCACACCGGAAGTTATTCAACCGGAAGTGAAAATCGAATTTCCACTTTAACCGGAAGTGACGCAAAAATTTTGAATTCGTCAAATGGTTTACATTAGTGACATGCATCTTTTATCAAAATTTCAGATTAATCCGAAAAAAACTGAAAAATGGTCCAAAAATTTCGAAAATCGGCCAAAAAATGTCTGCGACAAATTTTCGAATTTTGAAATTTTGAAACTGCTATTCTTTCAGATTTTAACAGTAGATTCCAAAAATGCAAACCCAAAGAAAATCGACCGAAAAATACGACTTCTAGAGCCGAAAGCAAAGTCCCACAATTAAATTTGGAGTACAGTCCTGAAATTTTGAGAATTGATAGATGATATAACAAAAATAATGAAAACATAAAAACTGACAATATCTAGTGGTGGGAAGAGGGGGTCAGCTGCCCCCAAAATCTGACCCTCTTTGACCCTTATGGGTAAAAAATTTGGAGTTCAGTCCTGAAATTTTGAGGATAGATAGATGATATACCATAAATCATTACGCTTCAGGTTGGTTGAGCCTCATATCACAGATATTTGAAATATGTAGCTTTTAGGGTAAAAATATTTTACCCCTTTGTCACAAAATGGAGTGATTTTGGGGGCCAGCTGACCCCCTTTTTCCACCAAGATATTTTGTCAGTTTCTGTGTTATTTATCTTCCCATGAAATGTTTCTTATACTGTATTAATTTGGCATATGTAGCTTTTGGGGTAAAATAGGCCCATGTTGGGTGACTTTTTAGGGGCAGCTGACCCCACAAACCCTCCAAAATATTTTGTCAGTTCATATTGTTTTGAGTTTGGAATATATGTGTAGTAACATAACCAATGTATTAACTATGTAGCTTGAATGTTAAAATAAACCTTTTTCAAGGGTTTTTTGACATACCCGAGGGGCCACAACCACCGGATCTGTACCAGCTGACGTACATTATTGAAAATGGACATAATACTTCCTTATTCCGATTTATTCAGTAAGTGCCCTTAATTAAGGTTTGACACGAGATAGCTAACAATTTCTTTAACCTGTGAGCCTTTTAAGGTTTTTACAAGTGGTACTTACCTATTCCAATTTCATCGACCAGTGTCCCTATAGATTTTTGACAAGTACTGCTTGTCTATAATGTTCTGTTCTAAATTAGCTTTCAAACTTTAAATGTCATAAATATTTGGTGTGACTGGATGTAAGAATGAGTGTAACCTAATTCAGTATAGTTAGACCTTGTTAATCGGGACTGTGACCTGGTTAAGCATTATGGGAAAAGCGTGCATAGTGAAGTGAAAATAGCATGGATGTTGCCGTCTCTGACTTGGCGGTCCGCATATCGGGTTTTACCATATTTGTCATAAACATATTATTGTCAATTGTTATTTTGTGAGCCTTTCCATGTTAAACTGGATACGTGAATATATAGTGAACGGGAATAATTGAGTGTGAAATTGGATTCCATAAGTATTTTCACTGACATTTCTTTATTTCATCATATTTTAATGTACTATTCTTATCTGAACAATATACAATTCATTTTCATAGAATATTCTTAATTATTTGGGTAAAAATGGATAATTTGCAAGACTCCCATCAAAGTTGTCTCCAATGGCGCCAATGTATGACCTTTGAACTTGAACATTCTCATGAAGCATGATACAATAGTTGAATATCAGGTGCGTAACAAACGGTGTGCAGTCTCAAAAACCGCCAGTGCAGAGCAGTAAACGCTGCAACCAACATATAACAATCTAATTTGTTTATTATGTAAAATGTGATAGCCATGGTGTAATTTAAAAATATATCTGTAGTACAATATATTATAATGACTATAAAATACACGATATGCATAAATTAAAAAATATATTTATTGTAATCAGCATTTAAATGTACAATACAATACATATTGCTATAGCATAAGTTATATATAACAATGAAAGGTGCATAAGCTTAAACAACAAGGTACTGTGTAAATTTGATATGTAGAATATGTATAAGTGTGCAGCATATCTTCATACGCAAAGCTTTTAATGGCAGAGTAGGAAGGTAGCGCTTTATAAATGTCCATATTATTATTTATTATTAACAGCTGGAGACGGAGCCCAGACACAGAATATACAATATAGAAATGTATAGTCAAAGGCCTAATCATCTAATGGGAATGCATACTTTCTTATCTTATAAAAATGGAAATGCATATTATAATACACAATTAAGGTATATAGTATGACAATGACAATTATTCGATTGTATTATTTAACTAAATAAACTGTATTAAGCGTCTTAATCTAATGGACTTTCCAAGCTTGACGCCATTTCTTAGTTTCATCTTCTGGTAGATCAATGCTACTATGAGGTCAATGAAGGTTAGGATAAGATCGTCAGATGAATGTTCGTCAAGTTGAAATGATTAGAACCCAGTTGTCTTTCTTTAATTTTATCCGATCTATGGACCGTGAGTCGAATGCGTAAATTATTTTTTAGATTCTCCTACATATTCTTTGGGATTACTGAGGGACATGCTCAAATATGCTTGCTTGTATATATCATATAGAATGGGTGATAATCAGTTGGTCAAGAGATAACTTTAGAATAAATGAGTTTTTAGTTTCGATTTAAAGACTTGCATAGTTGGGGACAGTTTAAGATGGAATTGTTGACATGTGTTTAAAAAAACGAGCGCCAAACGTTTTTAGATTTAACTTAGCAAACATATTTTTTTTGGTACATAGGCTGATATAAGGCCTTGTAAATAAGAAGGTGCCGATTTGTTTAAAGCTTAATATGGCATGACCTTACGGTATCAGATCTGACTCAGGTTTGTCCTAGATCTGTTTGTTGGTATGGACGTATAGACTTCTGGAACAGATCTGGTTACCAGACATTGAATTTGTTCAGGCTATGTTTGTGCTATCCGTGGCCTAGACGAGTATTGGTAGCTGGGTTGTTTTCTTATTGAAATTACCATTATGTTGTTAATTTAGCGAGTTATGAAATATCATTATGTTACCGAAGGCGAGACTAAACGTTTTTAGATATATGTTTAGCCAAAACTGCCTTGAGTTCAACTTGCAAAGAGTTATTTTTGTCCCTTTGCTGCATATCAATACGTCATTGTAGGCAAGACGAAACTCTGAGCGTTTCAGAATAGCAAACAATGGAAAGCAATGCAGTGTTATCTGGAGGGAACTTCAGTTGTTCATACTCCAATAAGCTCTGTTCATCACATGACTAACAAGCACGTGCATTTCATTTTCCCTGCTTGTCAACAACTCTAAATCCACAGTGTACAGTGGGTATGGTCAACGTCAGTGGAAATATACCTAATGAAAAAATAAAATCAAGCAAATGTGATCCTAGATAATAAAGTAAGAAATATTTTTTATATCATTAACTCGCCACAAAATGCAAAGAAAGTCATGATTTTCTTTTGAATGAATGTTAAAAAAATTGAAAATGTAAGGAGGCTTTAACCTCACGAACCCTTGAATGTCCAGCAGGCGTCTAACATACGTAAATCAGTTGAGAACCCAATGATTTCAGGTTAAATGAAAACCAAAGATAAGAATTTCGAAAACAATAGTACTCTATATTACAAATTTTAAATGTTAAACTATCATAGAAAAGTAAAACATTAAACTATTGAAGAAATTAATTATGCATAAGTTTGCATGAATCATACAAAATACAACAAAATTTAGTTACTAAAGAAAAAAACAAACACCAGCAGATCTGGTTAAAATAAGTAGGAAATTACAAATCAATATCTTTCTTGGGTGTCACAGGTTTGCAGAGGTTATCGCCGTTTTTGTTTTTCTTATTAAAGTTAAAAATCACCAATTCACCATTTGAAGGTATATATTTACTTACAACTGGAAATAAATCAAATAGAACAAGATAGTTTGCCAGGCAAGGTAATATACGCCCACTGGCAGCTTTGATTTTAAAAATAATTGTCGGTACAGTAACAACAATATAACCAAGTTTTACCAAGATCCGGCAAGAATTGTGCCTTAACGAGCTATAAATTAAACACGTTTACAAGAACAAGGGCAATTACTCAAACTAAAAATTTGTAGATTTCCAATAGGGCTTATCCTTGGGTTATCCAGGGTTCGTAAAAATACGTAAAGAATTTACAAACATTTGTGGACTGACGGACATGGGCGACGCCAACATACGCCCCACCCCCATTTCATATGAAGAGGGCTTAGATAAACTTAGTTTGGAAAATCTGATTATGATTAAATCTGCCTGTGCGCATCCAGCGACTGATGCTACAGTCGCTACAACAAATAATAATACCACCACCAGAAATTGCATACATTATGTATTATAACAGCGTGCGTTTTTTTAATGGGAGTTCATAGATATACAATTAAATTTAGTATTCTAACCAACTGTCCAGAAATGATATACATCCGATACACCTGTTAACATAAGAAGGTGAGCTCTTGACATCTAATTTTATTACTTACTTTCTGTTTGTTTCAAATCAGAATTCAAAATTTCCCAATAGGTCTTGTCGGGATTCCATTTACTTTTCAAACCATTGATCGCATCTATAAAATATCCACTTCGTGAATGATAACTTGATGAAAAGCTGCAAAAATGATTATGATAAATTTTATTACTAAAAACTGTGATTGGTTCATCTCAATTCAATGAAATTATTGACCAATCAGATTACTAGATCGCAATTAGATGCGACAGTGTAAAATACGAATTAATTTTGCGAATATGAATAAAAAAAACATACTTAAAATGTGGATCTATATCTGCAGCCAACTCCAGATGATGGATCAATGTCTGCTTTGGTACATCACGTAGATGAACACTGTATTCGAAATGTTCAGGCTGTATGTTGTTCTGTATTCTTAGATGTACATCAATTCTCTCATGACTGAAACCACAATGTCGAGGAATTATTAATACGGACAGATTATGAGCACATGTACGCTTGAAGGACGATAGTCATAAACTGTCATTTGTTTAAAAACTTTGTAAATACATTGTATTCAAACTCAAAATAGGAATGAAAATATCAATGAAGAGCAATAATTGTGCACAAAAGACATTTATTTGTAAGACCAAGAAAATAGTAAAAAAACAAACCTAATATATGCACCCATATCTGGAGCTTGTTCTAGATTTCCTGTCCCTTAAACGCTGTATTCTATATCTTCGGGCTGTATTTTATTCGCTCTCGCAATTAGAAGGACTGAAAGCCAAATGTCGACAAAATGATCCCAGAAAAAAAAATCACTGCGCATTAAAATAATTCCTGCATTCTCTCCCTTTCACTGTTCTAAATATTTGGTATTACAGTCAGATCCACACTTCGATGGCAGTTAACTCTAGACCCATTGTCTATCGAATCGTATCGAAAATATTTTTGAGTCTTTTAAGTGTAGACAGATTTATTACATACGAGTGTATAACCTACAAATACGAAGAGATTTGACACCATGTAATAACTGTATCCATATTACACATATAATGAATATGATTGGAACAACGCCATATTTTTTTGTGCTATCAAGCTTAGTGCATTCCAGGGTGCAGTCCTTGCTTGAAATACCGCAAACGATAATATATTACTAGAAACCCCCTATTTAAAACCATGTCTAAACACCCATGGGATATAATTCCTATAAGTAATACCGTTTTCCCTTTTAGACGAAATATCTATCGATAGCTAATGGCTGATTATTGTATAATAGGGAATTTCCTATGACGTCATCTTTGTAAATGTCACATATTTAACATTATCATACAGAACATATATAAAGGTATTGAACAACATGGTTACCTGTTGTAAATATTGTCAACAGAGACCAATAAAAAAAGATAAGTTTTATGTCTACTGTGTAATATGTTAATATATTGATATACTCACTCACACACTCACTGTGTTCTTCGGCCTGCCTCATTGTCTTTAAATACATTACTATTCCGATTTCTTCAGGCGTGTCCCTGTTAAAGGTTTTACAAGTAATACTTACCTACTCCAATTTCTTCAACTGGTGTTATTATTGGTGGTTTGAGATGTATTGCATGTCTAAACCAGTACAGTTTCTATTTCAATTCAGTTAATTTATTACGTAATGTGAGGCACGGCGACACGGTGAAAACTATAAATAGACCTGTACTACAAGTAGATGTTGGTGCTGTTAAAACGATAACACTTTTTATTTCCTTATTAGTCATAACGTATCAAAGCTTAGATCATGATATTTTGACCTCATCATTATACAGATATTAAACATTTATTCACCACATTACAGCTTTATAGATTGAGCCACATTGAATTACCAACCTTTTAAAAATACATAATTACAATAAAACCTGTATTAAGAGACCACCAAATGGATGAGTCTATAGCGGTCTCTTAATGAGCCACTTTGAATTACCAGCCTTTTAAAAATAAATAATAATTGTATTTCGGGGAAGGGAGGGTTTGAATCTCCCAAATGTACAGGATGCCTTAGGTGGAACAAATACGTCATTAAGACAGCGTATTTGTATTGTTCTGTTTTTATGGGTCACCCGATGTAGACATACAAACAATTTGCGGAAAAGAGAGATTATTTACAGACAACGAACCCGGGATCCCGAAGCAAGAATGATTCCCTTGAATGAACACAAAATGTCTCTCCAAAACTGTTTATCAATAAGGAAAAAGAAGAAATACATGTATTGCATTTAAAAATCTAAAGCTAAGTTTAGTTTGATATTAGATTTGGTATATTTTGTTTATTTTCGTCATTCCATTAGTGTAATCCACCATAACACATCTCCCAAAAAACAATATCATGTCGTCATATCGTTTTTATACGCCCACATGTAGTCGTATATTGTCGTCGCCCCTGTCCGTCGGTCCGTCCGTCAACATTTCTTGTGAGCACTATAGAGACTACAGTTTTTATCTGATTTTGATAAAACTTGGTGTGATGCTTTAGATTGATAAGATCTCGGTCAAGTTCGAATTTGACATATTTTCGATGAACGGTTTTTGAGTTATTGCCCTTGACTTTGTTAAAACTTGTTGAAATTTGTTAAAAATAGTTTGTGAGCAGGATTGACGCTACAGTTTTCAACCGATTCTGATGAAACTTGGTGTGATCATTGGAATTGATAAGATCTCGGACAAGTTCTAATTTGACGCATTTTCGATGAACGGTTTTTGAGTTATTGCCCTTGACTTTGTAAAAACGCGTCAATATTTGTTAAAAATAGTTCGTGAGCAGGATTGAAGCTAAAGTTTTCAACCGATTCTGATGAAACTTGGTGTTATCATTGGAATTGATAAGATCTCGGACAAGTTCTAACTTGAGATATTTTTGATGAACATTTTTTGAGTTATTGCCCTTGACTTTGTAAACACGCGTCAAAAGTTGTTTTTTTGCCCTTGATTAGAGCTGTGTGATTTAATTGTTTGTTGTATTTGGGTTATTGATATTGATTTTAAAAAATTTTGTGGAATTATTCAGCATAAATAATTTCTTCAATATGAGAAAATTCGTACTTTAGTCACTAAAGACTGTTTTATTATTTCTGATAGCTGCCAGTGGGCGTATGTTACCTTGCAACGCAAGTTATCTTTTAATGTATTGTTAATATGCCGTGATAATATAGAATAGAAAGATGTCGGCATTAAATATAGATATTTCATATTATTAAACACGTATTATTGAGCGAAAATGCATTGAGTTTGGCAAAAGAGGAATTAAATGAAAAACAAAACAAAAAAGATCTCAATTATATTAAGACCTTTATTATATGCAACATCCCCATAATCTACAGTTACAAATATTGCTCCTTTGACCCCTCCAATATCGTAAACATTGTAGTTAGACCGGAGGATTTAATGAATTTACTTAAATTATTTCGCAACTCATCCGCTATGTTAGGGATTGTTCGATTTATGAGGATTTCCTAGCTAGAAGTCGGAGTTAACTTTGAAATTGCTGAAACAGGGTCACTTGAGACACAAACTTCAAATGTCATGTAGGAAATTTGGTTGTTATGGAGAACTCCCTGAATAAATACAGTAATTCTGCTTCTTTTGGAAGATCTGTCAGGCATGAATTGATCTGGTTGTATCTCATTCTTAAGACCATTGTAGTATTGGCAGATGCGCGCGAAGCAGACCATGATTTTTTTGGAAATACCTGATGGTACTTCTCTTTGAAGGAGTCCACTACTTACTATACTACCTTTACTCTCGATTTTTGATTGACGAAATTGCGTCTTTTCTCTTAGATTCTGGCCTGTTCAGATACCGGCGGCTTGCGTGTCTGTTTCAGGAAGCTTCTCTATATCTAAGATTAATCTTGTCCGAATTATAGATCCAATTTTGATAGTTCCATCACAATTTTCGCTGAAAATGTTGACAATTGATGAAAATCGTTGAGATGGAAACAGAAATGTTACATTACCTACATTAACATAGAAAAATTGACCCTATTAAGACAGTATAAAGTCATAAATAAAAAGAATAGTCGATCTGTCAGAGCAGTTAATGAAGTGGGGAGAACAGTTCATTAAGGTTAGAGGGATTTATAAAACGTAGTGATTATATTGTTCTTATTAAAATCCTAGTACCCTTTGTCAGAAACAACCACAGTATTGCTTTTGAGTGATTCAAAACGTTTTCATTGAAGTGCAATATGAAGTGAATAACTATGTCTTATTCGTTTTCCAACTGTCAGTAATGCAGATAGGAGGAGCTGACATGTGAAAACGTTTAGTTGGTTTGTTGGTTGGTAGATGACAAGTTAACGTTAGCTTCCAGCGAATGGTGATATCGCAAAATAGGTAGTTGTTGGTAGTAGGATTTAAAAACACGTTTAGTCAATGAGATGGGAGTAAATACCTAGGCCAAAGGGCATGCACGCCTCGACAGATGGAGATCGTTAAAAAAGTTGTGTTGCAGTCCCTCGTGGCGCTCTAATTATTAACCCAATCGGGTGCAAAAATTAGGACGTAAAACTCAATTAGCAGTTTAGCAGTTTAGCAGAATGACTGAAAAGTACATTTTGCAGCAAAATGGTCTAAAAATCTGTTTTTCCGTGACATAAATTAGAAAAAGCTGTCCTTAGTTGGAATTGATGTATAGTGGTTTCCGATTTTCAAACCTTTGCGAAATGAAATATTGGTCAAATAAATTGACGAATCCACTGCTTTTACAAATTTACCATCATTCCACACAGCATGGCGTTGCTCGTTTTCATGGCGCAAAAAATGGAGAAATACCTAATTCTTGATTTATCTTAAATTCCATCTGAAGTAAGGTTTGGTCATAGTGTTCCATATATCAAATCAGGCAATTTAAGCAATCTAATCTATAATTAAAATTAATGTTCTAATCTGCAGGATACTTGTTATTGTGTTAACTATTTAGTAGATTTCGACACCATCAATCGTATATAACAGTATCGTACGTTATAATTGCAAAATAAATAATCCAAGCTTAAAGGACGATGGTACAAAATTTCTTTTAAACAAAGTTTGAAAATACTTCGTATTACATTCAAAACACAATTTCCACTTTACCAACAAATTTTGATTCAATTCAGTCTATCACTTTTCAGAAGACAGAAGTCTACAAAACACAACATGAACCTCTATAGCCGCAAGTATTTCGATATCTAAATTTCGATGTGTCCCTTGATTATCCATATAACGCCCCCAATCTGTGACTACTCACTGCCAAGAGTTTTTGCCGAACAAAAAGCTTCGAAAATATTGATGGTTCTTCTACTTAAATCTACTCATATTGTCATGGAAAAACTATGGAAGAGAGAACAAGAGGATTTATTTTTACCTTGTAACATTTGAATTTCATTGAACTTTTTGAGAATTAGATATAATGCTATCATCCCTCGAGAGCTTTTGTCATTTGTCGATTTAAAACAATCCTCTTAAAGCTATATTATTATAACAATATTCGCTCGCACTTATTTCTGTTTATAAGTTGAGCTATATTTAAAGAGCTTAATTAACCCCACCCCCCCCCCCCCCCCAAAAAAAAAAATTGGTTATGGCATTACATTGCCTTGCGCCTACTAAGTCAAATCTGGATTTTTCTTATTTAACTCCACCCACAACTCAATTCCATGAGAAATGC